AGAATCAGAATCGGGTTTATTGCCGAGTTGGTTTTTACATACGAGGAATTTGGATTGAAAACTGGTTCATTAGAATAAACGCAGAGACAATAAAGAGACAGTATGTCCACTGTAACCGGGCTGTACAGTTCCCAGTGGGACTGATGGGGTTCGGGGTTCAGGGTCAGACCGTGTTGTTATTGTATCTGCCCACTGTAGCAGAAGGACTGCGGGGCTGCAGGGAATCGAACCCTCCGTTAACCCTCTGCTCATCCTACAGGTATCCAGAAGCGTGAAGCTCTGAACTGCCACAAGATCCGTCATTTCGAGAACACGTTTGTGGTGGAAACCCTGATCTGCGAGCCCTGAGGGGCGGCGGCGGTGGTTGGCGGCGGCGGTTGGCGGCTGCAGTGAGCTGTGTGTTTTTAATGCTCACCTGTCTCTCCTTTCTGTCTTTACTTCAGGTAGTGAGCGAGTGCGAGGAGTGAAATGTGAAGCTGTTTGCTGAATATTCTTTTTGATTGTCAAAAGTATTTTTCCACTTTTCTGTTCGGGGATCTTCTTGGAATCTTTTCATAAAATAACTAGTTTAATAGTAAATTATTTTAATCAGTATAACTGCAATTATAGCACCAACATTGGTTTTAATAGAGAAGGGACTTTTAGTTTGCCTTTTTGTTTTCAATCCAAACAAGATTTCAGAATAAAGGGCACTTTTATACCACTCGCTCTGATCCAGGGAGACTGTTTTTGTTTTTTGTATTTTGTCTGCTGTAGCTATTAATACTCTGCACCTGTTCTTTCTTAACTGGAAAAGGATCTTAAAGTCAGAGTGCGTTCAGCTTTAAACATCCACTCACTCAGACCTTAAAATCTTTTTCTCAAGGGTTGTCTGTCTTTTTTTGAATGTGTAATTTTTTGGATAACTCTTGCTGTTGTACTAATTTGTGTATATAATCTCTTTAAAGATATGAACAGACCAACACAATAAACAAAATGGAAAAAACAAACACTGCTGTTTGTCTGTTTGTCTGCTAACTTCCTGTTAGCCTCAACTTTCAGGTGGAACCAGCAAGAACATCATCAGCGGTTTATTGTTCTCTTTAGTTCCCCTCAGGATCAACTATATAAAACCTTCATAAGCCCCGCCCCCTTTGTTCTGTGCTCCAATCACAGTTGAGAACCTCGGTCAACGTCCTCCTTTCCTGTACTTAGATATGCTATATGCTAAGCTAATCTATGTTGAAAAGACAACATGGTCACATCCTAAGTTAGCTAATGTTAGCAATACACTCGATAACTAGCTAGTAAGTAATTGATGTAAATTAGCTAGCTAGTTAGCATTAGCAACATATATTATTATTAGCAGTATTATTAGTATTATTATTAATTTTTCAATTCAATTACACTTTATTTGTATAGCGCCAATTCATAACAGAAGTTATCTCAGGACACTTTTCAAATAGAGCAGGTCTAGACCGAACTCTTTAACATTAATTACAGAGACCCAACAGTACCACCATGAGCAAGCACTTGGCGACAAGGGCAAGGAAACACTGCCTGTTAAAAGGCAGAAACCTAGGACAGATCCTTCAGCTCTAGGTGGGTGGTCGTCTGTCTCGACCAGTTGGGGTGAGAGAGAGAGAGAGACAGACAGACAGACAGACAGGCGCACAGCAACAACAGTATTGGCAATGGCAATCTAGCAGGACCATGGCAGGAGGCTCCACCAGGATCGACAAGAACCTGCGAGACGAGAAAGCACAAGAACTCCGGGGAAGAAGTGAAGTTAGTAACATGCATTAATGGAACATGAATGAGTGCAGAAAGAGAGAGGAAGAGAGGAGCTCAGTGCACCATGGGAAATCCCCCGATAGTCTAGGCCTATAGCAGCATAACTAAGGGATGGTTCAGGACTCACCTGATCCAGCCCTAACTATAAGCTTTATCAAAGAGGAATGTCTTAAGCCTACTCTTGAATGTGGTGAGGGTGTCTGCCTCCCGAACCCCAACTGGAAGCTGGTTCCACAGGAGAGGAGCTTGGTAACTGAAGGCTCTGGCTCCTGTTCTACTTTTTAGAGACTATAGGAACCACAAGTAGCCCAGCATTCAGAGAACGTAGTGTTCTAGAGGGGTAATAGGGTACTATGAGCTCTTTAAGATATGAAGGGGCCTGACCATGAAGAGCTTTATAGGTGAGGAGGAGGATTTTAAATTCTATTCTACATTTTATAGGGAGCCAATGCAGAGAAGCTAGTACAGGAGAGATGTGATCTCTTTTTCTAGTTCCTGTCAGTACTCGTGCTGCAGCGTTCTGAATTAATTGGAGCGTTTTAATGGACTTATTGGGGCAACCTGATAATAAAGAGTTGCAGTAATCCAGCCTTGAAGTAACAAATGCATGGATTAGTTTTTCTGCATCTGTCTGTGATAGTATGTGTCTAATTTTTGTAATATTACGTAAATGAAAGAAGGCGGTCCTAGAGGTCTGCTTTATGTGGGAGTAAAATGACAAATCCTG